AGGTTGGAGGCCATCGCTACTAGGGTGGAGGAAACAACCGGGGTATAAACGCGATCCCCTGTCCTTGATAAGGATCGCCTCCTCAACGACTTTTGGTATTTGCCTCCACGCGGAGCAAATGACCTGCAAAGCTGCCACCTGGAGCTCCGGGAACCAGTGTTGCTCTTTCGGGGTTGGACCTTTCCCAGCTTTCAGCTGCATGGATGCAGAGAGTCTTTCGATAGCCAGTGAGGATGTAATTCAGCTGTAGACAGCCATCTAGCCTTTTTTTGGTTCTTGTCCCAATTTGAGAGTACTGCAGGTTTGATAAGGATCATGTACAGTTCTAGTTTCTTCTCTTCATGTTTCACAGTGACCCCTAGTCATACAAGGGTAGTGCTAACATAGCATGCGGTGCCACCAAACATCTCCCAGTTGTGATCTCGTGGAACATCGAGATATTTAGGGAGCTTGGTCTCTGAGAGAGGGTCAAGGGCCAACATGCTGAAAGATGATGAAAGCAAAGGCTTCAAGAAACACTCAACAGACGCCGACAACGGAGATATGGTGGGTTCAGGCATGTTCAGGTCATCAGTTCCCGAACGTTGGGTGCCAGACTTCGACATCCCAACTCCGAGGTATGGCCATTTGCTGCATGATTTACTGCCTATGTTGGTATGGATGGCAAGCAGATATCCAAAGACCAAACTGATTGTTGTTTTGGACGAAGAGGAAAAGATCCGACGCTTCTTGCAATGGTTTAACATGGACTTATTCCACAGAGCCATCTTCATTCCGGAGGAGTCGCTTGTCGGTCTTGGAGGGGCAAAGCACCATTGTTCCTAGTAGCCTCTTGTTACTCATAGTAAGAATGCCTTTGTCGCTGGTAGCGATGCCCTTTGCTACTAGTAGCTTCTTGTTACTAGTAGTAATGGCCTCCACCCTACTAGCGATGGCCTCCACCTAGTACTCACCTTTGATATCCTTTGATCCTTGCTCACCCTTTGAGCGAAGTGAACCACCACAGGACCAAGTTCTCTACACCGAGAAATGCACGAATTGGTGAATTGATGCGATCTCTCAACTAATTTCACTTGCTCCAACCAGCAAACATTTAGACATTCCCCGGTCTATGTGTCTCCAAATCCGGCAGGTTCTTTTCCTGCGTGCACACTGGGCACACTGGGCCCCCACACCCGAGGACCACGGTTTGTGCCGAGACGATTCATGCTGTGGTACCCAAGATGGCCAGTTGCAACCATCCAATCAGCCTTCGCATTCTGCAGCCGAACAAACACTTGAGGCCGGGGATGGGACAATTGCTGTGTGATTCGGCTCCAAAGAGATGGAGCATTTTTCACAAGTTCAATTTCTCCAAGTAAAACAGAAGTCAACCCGAAATGCAGTCGCTGAACCTGCGAGACTTTTTCTTGAAAGCTTTTTGAAAGAAGGGGAGGCTGTGCCGGACTGGAGAGGAACGAATCAACCAATTTTGACGGGAACATACACCAGCAAGGACGCTACTAGGGGCTCCTGGCCTTACTACTAGGAGCAATGTTTGCTACTAGGAGCAAAGGGTATCGCTACTAGGAGCAAGGACGCTGCATGAGACGATTTGCCGAGTTGACTCATCTCACTTGAACACCGACCATATTCTTCAACGGAACATGACCCTTGCGTCGACATAGGCAGCGTGTTCTGCCAAGATTCTCAAACATGTTAATAGCGATTGCCTCCAACCTACTAGCAAGATTCTCAAACATGCTAATAGAGCTAATAAGATTGGATCGCTGAGCTGTGCTTGAAGTGTTGCGGGCAATTTCACCTTGATCTACCCAGTGTGAAGATTACAGAAGACCTTGTGGTTCTCAACTGGGACACGTTTGGCGGTATTTCACCTTACATCGCCGAAAACTGAGTTGTCTGTGCCAAATCTGGTTGAATGGCTCCAAGATTCGCGCTTGTATATCCCTTTTTCTTTTCGTTTCAGGCAGCAGATTGCGAAGTTTCTGCCGACTTATCCGGCCAACCGGGTGGTGTATCAGACACGCCTGGGCACAGCGCACCATGGGCGACTGGTTTCCGAATCGCATTCCAAAGAGATTGTGAACGTGACCAAGGACACGGGCCATTTCGGGGAATACTTATATAGCTTTAGGTTGGAGGCCATTGCTATTAGGTTGGAGGCCATCGCTGTTTGGTTGGAGGCCATTGCTATTAGATTGGAGGCCATTGCTGTTTGGTTGGAGGCCATTGCTATTAGATTGGAGGCCATTGCTGTTAGGTTGGAGGCCATCACTGTTAGGTTGGAGGCCATCGCTATTAGGTTGGAGGCCATTGTTCTTAGGTTGGAGGCCATCGCGCATAGGTTGGATGCCATCGCTGTTAGGGTGGAGGCCATCGCTGTTAGGTTGGAGGCCATCACTGTTAGGTTGGAGGCCAAAGCTATTAGGTCGGAGGCCATCGCTGTTAGGTTGGAGGCCATCGTTGTTAGGTTGGAGGCCATCGCTATTAGGTTGGAGGCCATTGCTATTAGGTTGGAGGCCATCACTGTCAGGTTGGATGCCATCGCTATTAGGTTGGAGGCCATTGCTGTTAGGTTGGAGGCCATCGCTGTTAGGTTGGAGGCCATCGCTGTTAGGGTGGAGGCCATTGCTATTAGCTCGGAAGCCATCACTGTTAGGTTGGAGGCCGTTATTAGGTGGGAGGCCATTGCTATTAGATTGGAGGTTATCGCTGTTAGGTCGGAGGCCATTGCTATTAGGTTGGAGGCCCCTGCTGTTAGGTTGGAGGCCATTGCTATTAGGTTGGAGGCCATCACTGTTAGGTTGGAGGAAATTGCTATTAGGTGGGAGGCCATTGCTATTAGGTTGGAGGCATCGCTATTGGGTTGGAGGCCATTGCTATTTGGTTGGAGGCCATCGCTGTTAGGTTGGAGGCCATTGCTATTAGGTTG